TCTATCGTGTGCCTGGTAATATGATAAAAGCCATATAATTTGTCATGGGGCTCATTTCCGGTAAGGTTTTTAGAAAGCAATGCCAAGAGAGAAAATTCAGTACAAGCCATGGATGATAGTCTCAAAGGTGCATCTACCTCAATTTCTTAGCATGTAAAGCTAACTTTTTTATTGTTCCCACTGACTGTGCATCAGGAAGCAGTCCTGGAGACGCGATTTCCCTTCAGCTAGAACTGAACTGTGAGATGCATGCTAGGAGCACAACCAGCACACTTCAACGCAAACAGGCACCAAATCCACATGGCCAGTCTGGAACGAGTTCAACAACAGAACTCCCTGCAATGCAAACAGAACGGGCATCAGCTCCCCGGCAGCAGGCGGGCATTCTGCAGACACAGCTCTGCCAGACTGCACTGCTTGCTGAGGTAACACAGCTCTTCTGTTCCAGGTCTTTGCAGGGCCTACAAGCCCAGCGCCACCATCTCGTCTGGAGACACTGTGGCTTCCAACAGCCAAAGAAACCCGAGGCCTCACTCCCCACATCTAGCAGTTTCTGGAGTCAATTGCATACTTGTGGTTCACAGGCGAAAGGACCACAGTTAGGTTCTGTACACGAAGCTGTGCCTGTGCCACGCTGTCATCTAGCAGATCCACAGTCTGGCAGCAATGTGGATACAACGCTCTCAGCTTTTCCAGTAAAGCCACAAGAATAATTTAGATTTGTCAAAATAAATTCAAATCATACAAGAAAGATACGAACATTAAAGAAAAGGCCTCTCAACATTTTAAGGGATTATACATTTATCTGTTGGCTGGCAAGTCACATGCTAGCTCTTCCTCGGGAATCTGAGATGCCAGGGACTTCCCTTCTCCATCAAAGGACGTTTGGAGGAGCGTTGTGTTTGCTTTCACACTGGCCCTGCACACTTCCAATACAAACCTGCTCCCCTACCTGATTCCCAGCAGCCGCCATACCTTATTCAGGAATTCCTTGGTCTGGCTGAGACAGAACACACTGCTCTGCACTGGCCAATCCTAGCAACACAGCTCATGTGTTCTTTAACACATCTTCACTGAATCAGCATGCTGCAGTATTGTTAACACAAACAAGCAACATTTCCCAAAAACTTTTTGATCAAAACTCTAGTACTGTAGAACTATATCACAAACTTTTACAAGGCATCAGAGGCCTGTAGCACCTTCCCTTACTGCAAGCCAAAACCAGTAAAGGAGCAGATGCCATATAAACAGTTCTAATCAACAGCATACTTCAGCACAAAGTTGAGAGGCTCAGCTGACACCAAAGTGATTCACCAAGAGCATACCATATTTATGCAAGCACCGGCCAGCAAAAGCTGCAAGAGATGACAGAATTAACTTGATCTGTGCTTATAGCTCCATACAAGTTCATAGTTCCCCAGATTTCCCAAAAAGTTGACATCATTTTTGTACGTTCTCATTCTCAGGTAACAAGGTGATTTTGTTACCAAGTCTGCATAGCCTCTGGTTAATTCAGCAACTTCCCCTGAGTTTTAGTATGAAAACTTCTCTGGTCCTCATCCTTTTGTCAGTGTGAAACTGGCCATGCTGAAGTGATTACCAAAGTGTTTATTACATCCGATCTGTCAAGAGTTTGATTCTCTTTTCCCCATTTGGACACAAATTCAGTAACCAACTGGGGGACATGGAAATGTAAGCTTCTCTCTACATCAAAGGTTAACTTAATCTCCACATTTTACTAGGTCAAGCTTCTTTACAACGGTAACATTTTAAATGTGCCACTCAAGTAAATCACATCATCGATTTTAGAACAACCGAAGAAATATGAAGGTGAAACAATTCAAGAATTGTTCAAAACAGAGGTAATAAAAGTGTAACAATTTAACTGTCTGCTATTTATGTTACATTATTATTAGATACAGTGGCTTAACAAATAGATTGAGTCCTTGTATAATAATCAGAAACTTCATAATCCAGGTACTCAGCCTGGGGCCTGGCGAGTACCTTCTCCAGAGGTTCCTTCCAATTTCACCATCCTTTGAGCACCTGTAGATTTCTCAGCCAAACTCAGTTTGAGGTCAAGCGCTAACAGAAGTTACTGGAATAACTGAGACAGTTAAAGCCTTACTCATCCTCTGTCACTCCACTTTCAGAATAAAAATTATTTTCATCAGATGATCCTCCATCTCAGCCACTGATGTTGGAAAACACACCAGCAGCATTTGGACCTAACGCTGTCAGTGCTGGATCGCAGTTACCCATCAATGCCGTGAGGCTTCCAGGTAATTTGGCAACATGCAGAACTCTTAGTTCAGTGAGCAGAGACTTGCAACAGAAGTCACTACTTCTCTTCAATTCCAGGGGAAAATCCAGCAGCCAGAGGCAAGAGAGCTGCAGTGCTTTCCTTACCTTGTCAGATGAGGTCAACATCAGCTTCAGACACTGCATGCGATGTGTAAGACATGAAGTACAACAAATGCCAGCACCACAATTCCCCTATCAAGGGCTAAGCTGCTTTAATGCCTTACAGATGTATTAGAATTATTCCTTATATTTTCTTCCAAGCCGGAAGGTGACACATCTAGAGAAATGCAGCACCCTGGTACACTGCTGTTCGTAAGTATGGTCCAATATCTGCAACTTAGACACAGAACTTACATGTTGCTTGGAGCCTCCCTCTCCCATGAATACACGGAGGTAGAAAGGATTACCAAGACAGTACAAGGTAAAGAACACAAAGAGGGGGAAATAATAATAACTGATGAATGAGAGATCAAGAAACAATCCAAAGGCCAGTCACAAAGGCTATATTCACAGTCTCTGTCCCCACTGTGCTGAGTCCCGAGATGAACACCTGAGCATATGGGAACACAGCCACCAACACCAGAACTACAAAATATTCTGAGTATTGTATCCTGTGGCATACCAACTCCTAACAGTGACATACGAAATAACCAGTAAGGTCCACTAAATCAGATTTTAAAACAGCAGAGAACCTCAAGAAACATGCACACAGAGACATTATGTTTTGTAATATGTTTAAAACAGCTCTGTTTTAAGGCATCCATGGCAGGATACCCAAGATTTGTGCACCCCCGGACCCCACTACAGGGCCAGCCACCTTCCCCATATAACTCCAACCACTGCAGTGTTCCAACACATCAGTGCAAACCAGAGTAGACAGAACCCTGCTTCAAGTCCTTGTCTAAAGCACTGGGACCCGGCAGCACTGGAGAAGCAAGCAACAGGAGCAGAAGATAAAACATGCAAGGATCTGTAAACCTATACAGTTCCTCAGCTCCTTTCAGCACTCACCAATTTCTATTAATGCTCAGCATTGACACTGCATACTCTATTACAGTAACCACAGGGGTATTCAACAACACCCACAAAACACAGTGTGTCATGAGCTCAGGATGCCATGACACATGGTCAAACAGCCCATTCTTGTGACTAACAAAACCTCCCTTCAGTTCGGCTTGCACATTCACAACTTTTTTCCTAATTATACACTGCAGGAGATTCAAGTTCTTCATTAAGATCTTCTACCATCCTATAAAGCCTGAGCAGAAGTGCAAAGTAGCAGAGAATCCTCTGACTAAAAGTAACGTTATATTTTTTCAATCTTACTGTGCCTGGTACCTTTTCAGCCTCAGACATTATCTAAACAGTAAAAATGCCTTTCATAGAATCATAGAATCACTCAGGTCGGAAAAGACCTTAAAGATCAAGTCCAACCACGACCTCACCATACTACTCTAACAACCCTCCACTAAATCATGTCCCTGAGCACCACATTCAAATGGTTTTTAAACACACCCAGGGATGGTGACTCAACCACCTCCCTGGGGAGCCTATTCCAGTGCTTCACAACCCTTTCTGTAAAGAAGTTTTTCCTGATATCCAACCTAAACGTACCCTGGCACAACTTAAGCCCATTTCCCCTCATCCTGTCACCTGTCACCAGTGAGAAATTAAACCCCACATCTTTAGGCCCATGAAAGTAAGCCTTGTGCAACAATGTTTGCTGTGCTGTACAAATGATGATATTCCACAGTATTTAATGCCAGATGCTTAAGAAAGAGATGGAAGTGACTGCATCTCCTGACAACCACAGCTGGCAGTTCCCAGAACATGACCCCTACATGATGCAAACCCCACCTTCTCCTTGCAGGCACAGCCCTAAAGAAACACACCTGAAGACACTGTGATTTTTCCTCAATAACTGCAAGGACTGCATCAGACCGGGCCGTCAGCTGCCAAGGAAGCTATTTGACCAGCAGCATCACTCACAAGATACAGAGATATAGGTGAGATACCAGGCATGAAATGCCTCTTGGGGACCGGTGAAGTAAATGTTCTAAAGAATCCGTATTTAACTCTTGAGGAGATGCACGCCGACAGGAGGACAGGTCACTGCGGTGAGATGCAGTGAGGTGCACGCGGAGCGGAGCGCCCAGAAGACGAGGGAGGGCATCAAGTGAGGCCCAAGACAAAGGACACGACTTGGGGATGTCAAGGGGCAGCGGAACTGGGAAACCTGGGATAGGAATGTTGGAGCGGGCGTTCCTAGCGAGACCACCTGAGCACGGAAACCAACCGGAGGAACGAGCCGCCGCCACGGGAAAGGGCCGCAGCCCTCCGCACGGCACGCGCGAAGGAAAGCGGGAGCTGCAGCCCGCGGCGGTGCGCAGCGTCACACACAGAAGCGGCAGCCGCGCAGAGCGGCGAGAGGCGAGGGACGGCGGGGCGCGGGGCGCGCGGGGCCGGGAGTCCGCGAGCCGGCCGGCCCGCAGGCACGAGAGGCGGCGGAGCAACAGGCGGCGCGGGCACGGCCGGGGGCGGCGGGGCCGGGCCGGGCAGCGGCGCGCCGTGACAGCGCCGGCGGCCGCGCGGGAGTCCGGAGCGGGCGGTGGGGGAGGGGAGCCGGCCGCGTTCGGGCCGCGCGGAGCGCCCGGGTCGCGCTCCAGGAGCGCTGCGGGCCGCGGGGCCGCGCTCACCTGCTGCACCCCCAGGAAGTCGTAGAAGTTGCGCGGCACCTCCTCCACCAGGTCGAACAGCTCCAGGTCGCCGCTGTCCCAGGCGCGGCCGCGGGGCGCCAGCAGCGCCAGCAGCAGCAGCCGCAGCAGCGGGCAGCCCATGGCCCCGGCGCGGACGTGGCCGGGCGGGCGCAGCTGAGGCGGCGCGGCGCCGGCAGCCGCTGGGCGCTGAGGGAAGCGGGCGGGCTCGGCCCCGTCGGGAGCGCCTCGCCCGGGCCAATCGCCGCCTCGGCTGCGCCTGACGTCGGCTGCCCCGGCAACGGCGGTGCTGGCGCAGGCCGGGCGTGGGGGCTGGGTGTCGCGGCCCTTCCCCCTCCCCTTCCTGCCTCGGCCTTTCTCCGCCTCCTGCTTCTCTTTTCCAGTGGGCCCGCGAGCGGCGGGGCGCGCTGGCGCTGCGGGAGGAGAGAGCCGGGAGAGCGCGGTGCGGCCCGGCCCGCCGCCCCTCGGGGCGCTGCGCTGCGCGTCCGCGGGCCGGGTACGAGCCCGAGCCCTCGGGGCGCGTTTTCCGCAGCCCGAAATCGCTGCGATGCACGCTCCTAGCGGCTGCCCTTCCCCCCTCCGGGCTTCTCGTGCTTTCCCTGCTTAAACTGATCGCGGACGAGGCTTCGTGGCTCCGCGATAGCCGTCGACCGCGTTGAGTCTCTTGCTCCGTTGTCGCACGCGCAGGCGGGCCCCTCAGAACACGCACAGGCCCTCGGATCCAGGCCTCCTTAATGACCAGTTGAGAAAAGGCACCAGTTTCAGTCATCCTGGAAACGTCCTTGGTTCTCTGAATCAAGTTCAGGAAATACTCTTCCGGTTTACAGAAATCCTAACTGCCAATCTGACCGGTGTCTAACCTCACACAAGAGGAGACAGGCACCACTTAAACCTCTCTATGACACAGCACTGCTCTGAGCACTGTGCAGGAACAGTGAGAGGCAGCTTTAGAAATACACCCTGCCTAACTCAGAATAAGGGCTTGAATCTGTGGAACCATAGAAAATACACATGCTCACGTCCTGTTGTATGTATCATAACCCTTACCACATTCTGTGACTATCATTTTCCAACACATACAGTCTCAAACATTGTCTTCTGTTGAAACCGTTCCCCTTTGAATAAACTACTTAAATATTAATTAGATTGATATTTAAACTAGTGTTTCCATATCCCATATGCACGCCCTCTGGGCTGTTAGCTTCATGATTCTGCCTCTGGCTCTGTTTTCTGAAGAGACACCTAAGCCCGCTTGCCAGGAAACAATAATTTAACCAACATCTGATGGAGGCTCTTTTTTTAATTCACTCTTCTCAAAAAGGAGCTGTTAATTCTGACCATCTTAAAAAAAATGCTTCTTTCAATTGATCACAGAGCCAAAAAAACAATCCTTTTGCAGAGAATCACAGAGTCATGAGAAAGTCATGGGCAAGTTAATTTATTGGTTGTTTTGCTTTGCAGGAGTAACTGAATCTGTTGTTGATTGATTTCTTTCCTCTTAATTATTTTCTTCATCTGCTCTTTTTTTGCACACACTCATAGCTTAAATTCCCTTTGCTGCATAGTTTGCCTATGCTCTTCTTGCTTTCAAGCCTCCAGCTTTATTACATGAAAATACCGGCTTTTGTTTAAAAAGTTACCCTGAGGATGTAGCACAAAGCTTAAAGATGCAAAGTACCTCCAAAACCAACAAATGGAGAGCACAAGCTGGTATGTTTTTTAAACGAGGTTAAAGATTTTTTTTTTAATGTGAGATGAACAATACTCCATACCCTTAGTATTTTCTTTCTAAACTCTCCTTCCTTTCTGCTTCATTCTCTACCTGCCATTAGGTGCTTCATTTTGCCTGATAAGTTTCTAAGCCTCCCCACTGAAGTGGATCTAGTATGATACTTGAAGTACCACCATATTAGTGTCAGTCTCTTCTCATTTTTCTATTTTCTTGTTTCGGCCATAAGTGGTCAGTTTTGTCTCGATGACTCACTGAGACCTTCCCCCTTCTTCAGAACTTCAATTAATCCAAGTCACACCAGACTTCCACAACACAAAGTATGTGATTAAATTAGAATCAATTCTCTCTCCTGGTTTTGAAGAGAGCCTTGAAATGCCAAGCAAACATACACTGATTCAGCAATGGTTGCCTTCCCTGTGAGCCTGAAACAGCATATGTCAGAAATTTCCAGTGACATGGGCCAAGACTTCCAAGTGTGATGACCATGCTAAATCTTGGTATGTGAACTGACACATGTAGTGAAGAATGTAGAAAATGGCATACAACTTTTTCATTGTGGTCCCAAGCTATTCATGCTGGGACGTATTATTATGTTTTTTCCCACTACATATCTGATATTTAAATGGCTGGAGCACCAGAGAAAGGTTTGTTATTGCACACCATATTCTGCATGCAGTCTCCCCAGCTGGGCAGCTTCTTTATTTTAACAATGCTGGGAGCTGTGAAGGCAAGTGCAGTGTTTGTGTTCTCTGCCATGAGGTTTCTCTGCCTGCACACACACAGGTAGGTATCACCATATCGGCTCTCCTTAGCAAGCCATAAGAGTGAGAAACATACAGGAATATCACTTGTTTAAATAAATCTATGTTCTGATGCTAATTGACAGCAGGACACAAGGCCTGAGGCATGAAACCATTATTATGACTGTTTTTAACACCACTGAAAGACCAACATACTTTAAAGCCCAGCAGGATTCACACAGTCATATTCTGCATGGCCAAACAGCTGCTGTTTTGGTGTCTCCAATGAGCAGAAGACAACTCATGGAAAGAGCTTATCATCCTTTTTTTTTTTTTTTTCTTTCCTAAAGATAAACCTTATCTCCAGCAGTTCAAAAATTTGGCTGTTCTGTGGTCTTTTCCAGTTTTCTCTCCTGGCTGTTTACTTTTTTTTGTTTTTACTTTAGGTGCTCTGTAGGTTCTGCACAGTGCCAGTAGTTTCTATGCTAACAAAGCTGGCTGAAGGGTTTCCTGCACACTCCCCCAGCCCTGCTGCTGGTTCCCACCTCTGTGCTGTGCTAATTCACCTCTTTGTGGGCCACATTATAAATCAAATGGCTGAAATGATCCAGGTTCAAAAAAAAATAAAAAGCTGTTCACACACATGTATATACACACACGCACAGAAAAACTCAGATTTATTTCAGTGATCCAATTTACAGCACAGCCCAGAAACAGCTGCATCGGCACAATCAAGGGCACAGTGAGCTGTGATGAAGGAGCCAGAACAAGAGGGCATAGCAGGCAGGAAACTGCCTGGCTTAAACTGGCTTTCCCACTGGAAATAAAACCTTTGTATAACTCTACTCTGAGAGCTCAACGCAAGCTGTTCCCCAAGCAGTGGGCTAAGCGGAGCGGGGGCAGGAATGTTCCTTCGCAGCTGGCAGGAGAGCTGGAGGACTTGCACTGGAAGATAGGGTTCTGCAAGAGCAAAGTAATTGCTCTGCAAGAGAAGAGAGGAGGCAGTAACCTTGTTCTGGGGTGTTTCTGAGTGCTCTGCCCTGCCAGACCAGCAATCTGCCGGTGGGCTTCTTACAGAATGTATTTTTTAAAGCCAGATCATTTCTCAGATCCAGTCTGGAGTGCAACCATGGAGACATGAGTCAGAATAGGGTGGAGAATGAGGAAAGATAACATCCAGCATGGAAGTGGGAAAAAGGGGGGGAGTAGAATCACTTTATAGCAATACTGCCCACTGAAATATTTGTAAGGAATATGCCATTTGTGTGGACCAGCTGTTACCTTAGGCCAGACATAAGTCAAAGTAATGAGAAAGAAATGTGGGAATGGAAAGAGAAACAAAAGCAACACAGCTAAAAACTGAAAGCTGACTCTATTACGGTCCATCAGACATGAAAGAGTATTATTTAGGAAATAGCTATTTAATGCCTGGTCTGGGCAGCTCAGCCCTCTCTTTTAACTATATTACTCTTTTTTTTTTCTTTCCCCCCCTTATATTACATCATTAGTGCCTGTACCAAAACAGTCCCTGTCTGAGTGTGCAATTCTGTGTCATGATGTTTTCCAAATCAAAAAGCTATCTGAAGGCACATTAACATCATACAAGGTAATCACAGACTGTGAGACAGAAAAAAAGTTTCATCTTCCGAATGCCAGCATATCCTAGTAGTGTAAGCCAACATATGAAAAGTTGGATCATTATAAATGGCCTTTTTCCACCACAACTGCATAATGCCTTGCTGTATGACTTAGCAGTAGTACATCATTGTATTTTAATACATATTTTCCAGAAGAACTTCAACCTGGGGAAACACTATCTTGGGAAGAAGTTCAGGAGGCACAAGAATTAGGAGACCAAACAAAATCAGTGACTAGAAGGCTTATACCATCTTTTAAAATAAGATATTCTCAGCATCTTTCAAAATGATTTGTGGCTTAAACTGAAAGTGGATGACTTCCATGTCAATTTTGTTATTACTCTTCCAAGAACAATATCCTGGTGCTCTATTCATGTATGGAGATACTCCATCTGAAAACCCCAAGACAATTTTTAGAGGAAGATACAGGTCTTTTAATATTTCCTTTGAGGGAATGTTATTACTGGTCTCCCAGAATGAGAGCTCTGACTGTACAGATGATACTTCTAATCTCCAGCATGTGGTATATCTAAAGATACTGTACATTAATACAATAATCTCAGCCCATAATTAAGAGTGCTGGAGATCAGGTATTCTCGGTATTTTCATCTCAGTAAATTTTCAAGGCATTTGTGTTAAACCCAGAAACTAAAAAAAAAATAAGAAACATATTTTGAAATACAGAAGATCTCATGCCATTCTTGGATAGCAAGATTGATTCCTTTTGTTCTATTCTGCCGTAGCTATCAAAGATCAACAAAGCTTATTCATAACAGGATTTTCCTTAATTATGCTTTATACATTTCTTATCGTTTAGCATATTACTTTTACTTGTATTTGCCAAAGCAACTAAGATCTCTTTTTAATGTCAAATAAACTTCCTAAAAGTGCCTTTTAATATTTTTAAAAATTAATTCACCACCAGGGGGCAAATAACTATTTCTCCAGAGAGAACATTTTTGTTGGTTTTATAGATGCATGACCCTTCCAAGGTCCTTTCCTATTTCACAGTAATTGCAGAAGTGATAAACAGATATTTTTTTTTAGGTGTG